GATTAATTCATTTTGTGAGTAAATAATTCAATTTTTTTAGTTTTCGTTATAATAAAAGTTAAAAGCAGAGGATTGTGAGAAGTTGTGTTTATAAGTTATTGTTGTTGGGACTATTGAACGTCACGTGCAATACATTGACGTCGAGAATATAGAGATTTCTATAAGGCAGGCAGATTATTAAGTGATAAATATATAAATAGTGTAAGAGGAGTGGAAACAGCAGACAGACAATAGCAGAAGAGAGTAAATTTACGGGCAAGGAAAAGTTCGGCCTGAAGTTAACTTCCGTAGAAGTGATAGGCCTAACATTACATATGTTATAGTAGAAAAGGAGATAAGAAGAAAAATTTATTCCGTCAAAGCGTGGTTCTAAAGTAATTGAATCAGCCTGATTGCACTTTGACAAAAGGAACAGAGGATATTTAGAAGAAAGAAGACCAAACGATTACAGTAACTCGCGCCACAATTGTAATTGAATCACACACAGAATACTAGCGCGATAGTAATAGACAAGATAGTTCGGTTTGTCAACTGAAATTTTAAAACAATTGAATAGGCCTAAGTGGAGTTTTGACAACAAGGAGAGAACTACATATATAGTGTTTATGATATGCCTATAATCTCTACAGTGTGAAGAATTTGTTGTACATATATTTAACTTGTTCTGAATATACATATTATTTTTAAAACAAATGAAGTGCGTGCTGTTCATTTATCGTTGAATTTATCGCTAACAGGTCACAGACACCTACTGTAGAAGAATCCTAAGCCCAACAACAACAACACAGTATATATTTATACTATTAAGAAGTATAGGTAAAATTCTTTATTTTGACAATTGGCGAAATAATTATATCTTAAATACTGACATACAATTATCTACTTCTTTTTAATTGGAAATAAATATTTATTCTTGAAAGGATGCTACATCAGTGGTTAATGAGAAGAAAAAACATCGATTAATAAAAATATAAATTACCCTCCTCATCTTCATGTGATCACTCTCATTTCTAGAGCTCATTTAACATAGCTCAGAACGAAAGTGTCGTCCGATGTCACTAATGCTTCCAGTTCTTTCTCACACGTTGTCATCGTTAAAGGCAACATACTTTTTAATTCTTTGTAAGCTACTTGATAGTGTGTGTATATTACACTATTATGTTACTGATATATTACTTCCTTGTTTCACTGTCTAAGTTGTTTCCATTTAAATATCTAGTTAAAGCATAATGAGTATAATGTAAGCGTCTTGAACTGATGTAACACACAAAATACGTGAAATATATAACAAAAAAGCCGAAGTTCTGTATTAGTTCAAACAATAGGTGATTTATCATAAACACAGCAAAATAAAGCATTACTCACATTGCATCGTTCTATTCATGTACTGTAAAACCAAATTTACAGTCATCTTAACTCCTAATTCACCACATCACACTTTGTTAAATGTAACTCAGTGATGATTCTTAAGTAAAATACGTAGTAGTGCCAAGTTTCTTTATTTTGCTGTATTTTTGAGTTATCGTCTTCTGTTTGAGCTGAAACAAAATTACGGCTTTTTGCTTTTGCTTAAGCGTTCTTGGGTGGATAAAACGTTTAGCGCAAGCTGGATAACATCTGCAAATATGCAGCTACGTTGCAATGCCATGCGACGATTACATTGAAATCAGTCGTAATTTACAAATATTTTTCGGTGACTAGTCTGTTTATTTTCTGTATCCCTCAGTACGAAAAAGGTCGTTTTTTATAACGATAGTAGCGTTACAAACGGAATAGTCTTGTTCCATGAAAAGTATTAGCGTGTATAAACAACAATAACAAAAGTCTGAAGAGGTACTGTTAAAATTTTGTGTTATTAATATATATTTTCCAAGTTTTTAGTTTTCAGGATTTTTTCTAAGTTTTCTTTAGCACAAAGCCACACAGTAGGATAACATTGTTCTATTCATCATAGGGAAATCGAACCCCGGATTTTTGCATTGTTAGCCCGTAAATTTATCTGTAACTCATCGGGGGCCTTTTTATGTAAAAGTTGATTTTTTTAAAACTGGTATCTCAGGTTCATAAACCTATACTACAGTGAGCAAATACAGAGCTACATTGTAATGCAATGGGACGATTACATTGAAATCAATTGTAATTTTAAAATATTTTCCAGTTTCTTTCTCATTGTTTGATGAGAAGGACTTTTCGATTTTCTGCCAGTAGGAGAAAAAGGAAACACACGACAAGTTGGTTTATTTATAATTTACACAATCCACAAGAAGACTATTTTATGAGAACTCTTCCATTTATTAGAACTCATGAGTAACAGAATAGAATAATGTAATAATGTCAACCACACTATATCTGTTTTATCCAGTGTCCATCGAGGTCTTTCGTCTAATACCAAGGTTCATCAAGCCAGCTGAAACATAACCGATATAGTAGTGATCGAGACACTATTTATATCTTCAGTTGCTTGAATAACAACATTTTCGGTATGAACTAGCTTGAGTTGGTGAGCCGTAATTTTTGTTAGTTTTATTTAATTCATTGCACATCAGAGTTAGGTTTATGATTTTTATTAACAACCAACTATTGATTTATATTAACACTAAACTGTTCATTATTAACGTTATTTATTTGAATTAAACTCAGAAGAACTAGAAAACCAATAAGCTAGTCTCTTTTGAAGCTAGAGCGGGTCAAGTGATCATAGCGTCAACGGGTTTATTTGTTTGTTTGTTTTGAATTTCGCGCAAAGCTACACGAGGGCTATCTGTGCTAGTCGTACATAATTTAGCAGTGTAAGACTAGAGGGAAGGCACCACCCACCGCCAACTCTTGGGCTACTCTTTTACCAACGAATAGGGGGATTGACCGTCACATTATAACGCCCTCACGGCTGAAAGGGCGAGCATATTTAGTGTGACGAGGATTCGAATCCGCGACCCTCAGATTGCGAGTCGAGCGCCCTGACCACCTGGCCATGCCGGGCCTGCGTCAACGGGAGAAGACTAGGAACAGTCAAGAGGAATGCAACAATACTTCAAGCACATTATGTCTGCTATATTCAGTGCCGACGATGCTTTATTTTAGAGTTTAAAAAATAAGAATGTTGAGACAACGGTGTACACGGTTGGCATCGTCTTTCTGGTATAAGACTACATTGTGGTTATCATTATAATTTCGTAATTTATTGTTACAATTTGAAACGTTTCATTTCTTTGTGTCTTTGCTTACGAACAAAGTGTCTTGTATCCTTGTATAAGCTGGCGAACGAGCCTATGAATGGAACTGTTTAGACTGCAACAGATATTTTAATCAATTTGAAACTTGCTAAGCAAATTTGTCCCATTTGATAATTCTATGTGACAAAAATATAGCTTTCGAAGTTCTTTGCTGTATATTTGCAATATTTCTAAAGTTATACGGAAAATCAACGAAATATTGTCTTAAATTTACATTTTTTCTTACACATATAACATGTATATATATATATATATATATATATATATATATATAT